CAACCTTACATCGAACTGACAAGCTAATTTTCATACAGAAGTCCCAGGTGTTAAAAACTATGCGTTTAATTTTTCATCGAATGTTAATGAGTCTATACGCGCCTGAGGCAGCTCATTAGGGCGGTTTTTAACGAGCGAAAGTTACGAAACACGTCTGTCTCGCACCAGGAGTGATGGGGTGGATTATAAACTTGTCTGGGAATTATACACGATTCTTGATTGGCTTCGTTAACGTATAACGAGCACTAGTGTCTGCCGGGCCGGAGTAATACCATTCTGGGGTTCACATCACTAATTATAAACTTGTCTGGGAATTATACATGATTCCTGATTGGCTTCGTTAACGTATAACAGGTACTAGTGTCTGGCGGGCCTGAATAATGCCGTTCTGAGGTTCACATCAGACTCTAGCCAGCTCGAAATTTTTTTGCTTTTCTTGGAAGATCCTGAAAGTTCCTGGAACCTACTAATGAGAGGTTTTTGCCAAGTTTGAGTTTGGAAACCTGATAAGGAAGACAAATTGCCCTACATTTTGTTCATGTGTAGAATTATTACATAACTGTATATAGTACTGGTACGGTGACAGTATTTCCTAGAAAGATCCCTAAAATTCCTGGAACTTAAAAATCCAACTAATGAGGGGTTTTTGCCAAGTTTGAGTGGAAGGAAATCTTGGTTTCTTGTAGTGGAAACCTGATAAGTAAGACAGATTGACCTACATGTACATTTGTACATGTGTAGAATTATTACATAATCCATTATTATAGTCCAGTATCTTTGCTTTTCTGGAAAGGTTCTTAAACTTCCTAGAGAGTTTTTTTTCCAAGTTTGAGTTTAGAAACCTGATAAGGAAGACAGATTGACCTACACTTTGTTCATGTGTAGAATTATTACATAATCCATATACCAGGTAGTCCAGAATCTGTGCTTTTCCTGTAAAACCTGGAAGTTCCTGGAATTTAATCCTCCCACTTTATCACAGAAAGAAGCTTTTTGGCAAGTGAAATCTTGATTTGGCTTCTCGTGGTAAAAACTTGATTAGAAAGACAGATTGACCTACATGTACATGTGTAGAATTATTACATAATCCATACAGTCGACCTGCTTTTCCTAGAAAATCCTAAAAGTTCCTGGAATTTAATCCTCCCACTTTGTCACAGAAAGAAGCTTTTTGGCAAGTGAAAGACACAGACAGAGAGTCTCATCGGCAGAACCAATGGATTTCTGACTCTTGTTACGTGCGTGATGCAAACTTGTGGAGAAAGACTGATGATTGTCTGAAGTTAAGAATTGATTTTCCGTATAATCGTGCGTGTTACATTGTGGATGTGCCTGTTTCACCCAAAAGGGTGCTGAATCATGTCACTTTGCTGTAATTAAGGAAGTTTTTTTACAACTCTACTGAAGTTATTGAATAAATAAATACAGATACATGTATAAGGGTATCTTAATAAACTAATAAACTAAGATATTGGCTTTGATTGTCAAATATACTAAATTGTCAAATATTAGTAAGATCTTTGAACAGTTTGCAGTCCCTGAAACTTTGTCTAAAGAATTTCCAACATCAGAATATCAAAGTACATTTTTGTACATGCATGTACTATAGTCTGGGTGTAGAACTTTTACTTTGGGCATTCAGATATATTGTTCACAGTTTTCAAAAGAGCTTCCTCACTGTCAAGAATCTATCTCTACTACAGTGATGCTCACATTTCCATTTAACTTTGCACAACTTACTCTTCGATTTCTGGACATTCAGAAATAATGTTCACAGTTTTCTAAAAAGCTTCCTTACTGTTAAAAATCTATTTCAACTTACTCTTCGATTTTTGGACATTCAGAAATAATGTTCACAGTTTTCCAAAGAGCTTTCTGACGGTTAAATATCTATCTCAACTTACTCTGCGATTGCTGGACATTCAGAAATAACGTTCACAGCTTTCTGAAAGAGATTCCTGACACGACACCTTAATGTTAAATCTATCTCCCATTTCTAAAGAACTGGTAAATGGCATCGCTCAGTTCCCGACAGAAGACTTGCAGTAAGATGTGCAGTTATAGCTGTTTAATGGGCAATTCAACATGTCATTTCCTGCGATGTATGAACTATATCTCTATATATCTTTATATAGTGATCCAACTTGTACAATACAGTTCAAAAAAAGTAAAACTTACATGAGGACACTTTTATTTTCAATGTCAATGCTGGAAAACCGATTGTACAACGTTTCATCACTCAGGTGTCAGATCATGGAGCTAGAAAAGGTTGATCAGCTCAAAATATTATGTCCCTTGCAGGGGTTCACCCCAAAAAAAGGCTAGGACGAGCGGGTTCGCGACGCGCCACAGGTTGATGCCGTGAGTCGGTTGGGAAACAGGAAACCATTTTTTTCCAAGGCCTCAGTCCTTGACAAAGGACTAGCAGTAAGATGTTCCGTTATGTCTGTATAATGGGCGATTCAACACGTCATTCCTTTGCGATATACGGACATTACGGCACGGCAAGACACTTAGCCAGATGGTCGCGCAAATCTGTCACTGCAAAGCTGTTCAGTCTTCCTGTTGGCTTTTGTCTGGCCTGGGAGGATCCCATCCTTTTTGTCCACAGGATTCTTGATCTTTATTTAGGCCGAACTGATTTGATTACTAGTACATGACATGTGTAAGGATGACATCCTCTGGGCCAAAACTGATGCAAATGTTTGGTAAAGGATCTTTGGAGAAATCTGAATGAATGATACATATATACCCAGAGTATGATATGCAAACAAGAAATATCTTTAGGAATCTTATTTAGTGGTGCAAGCACAGCAAAAATGAAAGCCCTGCTTCCCTTCTGTCATCTTCTTTTCCTTTAATTTCTATGCCTGTCACCCTTCAAATACCTAAAAGAACACTGCTTTTTACCATGTACAGTATGGCTGCAAACTTCTTTTTTCGTTAGAAACAGACAAAAATTGGTGCTTGCACAGATGTCATCTATATAAGTACAGGCTAATAATGATGTATCTTGTTTTCAAAAAATTGTCTTCACTTATTTGCATATCAATGAATTGTTCGTACTTATAAACCTGCTTTTCTGACAACTCTCCAGTGTCACTGACGAAAGGTAGTGGATGCTACCTGAAACGTCTGACCATTTCCAAAATCATATCCAGTTGCTTGAGTAACTGTTTCTGGCATATGCACAATGTATCTTGTATGACTGTTTGTATCGTGGAACTGAATGTTTATTTGTTTGTTTGTGTCGTTGCCATAGAAACAGGACGAGCTACACGTAGGAAGTACGCAACCACAGGACATGGATGGAGAAGTGCTTATCACAATGGTCAACAAAGCTGTCAACGCCATCATGACTCGGCTACAGAGTAAGTGCAGTTCTCTTAAAAACCAGTAGGGGGGGCTCATGTATGGTGAAC